ATCAGAATGAACTAATTCGAAAGGAGCACGAGCACGTTTATTGACTCTAGGACTTGAACTAAGACGATGGTGTTTTGCAAAATGACACGACTCACAATTTAAAGAAGACACCGTACGAAACTGTGGACAAAGCTTCTTCAGCAATGGAAGAGACGGATGACCCAACCGACAATGTGCCTCGAGGGGAGAGATGACACTAGAGAAAGCAACAGAGGTAGGTGGTGTTGTGTCAAGAATGTAGAGGCCCCCAGACTCGTGCCCTTTACCAATAATCTTCTTCGTCATAAGATACTGAATTAAGCAATGATCAGGAAAAAAAGAGATGCAACAATTAAGAGTGCGAGTAAGCTGGTTTACAGANCCCAGAACAAGCAAGACTTGGGTGTTTGTGTATCAAGAATGTAGAGGCCTCCAGATTCATTTCCTTTACCAATAATCTTCTTCGTCATAAGATCCTGAAATAGGCAATGATCAGGAAAAAATGAGATACAACAATTAAGATTGCGAGTAAGCTGGCTTACAGAGAGCAAATTAAATGATAAATTAGGCAAATGTAAGACAGATGACAGAGGAAGCAAAGGGGTTGGAGTAATCGTGCCGGACCGACGAACACAAGATGGCGACCCATCGGCTAAAGTAACAGTATTAGTGGAAGTGTGGGACTGAAAAGTAGAAAAGAGACCAGAATTACCTGTCATATGATCGGTGGCACCAGAATCAATGACCCATTTGGAGGATGAGGAAAAAAGGCACGCATTAGGTTTACCTGAATCAGCAATAGCAGTGACAGAGGAAGATGAAGACTTTAGTGATTCTTAATATTGTGAGAACTTGGCAAATTCATCGGCAGAGATAAGAACTGATTTTTCAGAATTATCATGAGAAGATGAAAGATGGGCTGAGGGGGTTCTCTGATTCCTGTATTGAAGCTTCCTACAATCACGCTTCGTATGTCCGGGCTTGTGACAGTAGTAGCATACAATTCCCCCAGAATCCTGTGGCCGAGTTTCAAGTCCCTGTGAGCCCCCTCCTTTGTTTCCATTCTGATTGGTGGACCGCCCAGACTCATAATGAGTAGTTCGACTGACCAAAGCACCACTTAGCGGAACAGGCGGAGTACCCTCTGTGCGGAGAACTCGACTGAATACGTCATGTAAGGAGGAGATATCAGAACCGGAAAGAACCTGTGATTTAGCAGTCTCAAAGTCAGAAGAAAGGCCAGAAAGGAAACTCATGATAGCCATTTGCTCTCGTTGGCGTTGCTGAACCTTCACATCAGGGCTAAAAGGCAATAACATATTAAGCTCCTCATAAGTCTTCTTAAATGCCATAAAATAATTTGTAAGGGACTGATCGTGTTTTTCGGCACGGTAAAAAGCTTTGCACACCTCATACATGCGAGAAAGATTCCCTTTACCAGAATACAAGAAATCCAAATACTCCATCAATTCTTTAACAAATTCACAGTGGTTGATCAAGCCAATGACCTCACTATCAATCGAATTCCGAATCTGCATGAATAAGCGAGCATCCTCTCGGAGCCACGTTTGCTTGGAATCATCCTCCGGGGGATCGTCAGTCAAATGAGTATCTTTCTCAATACTCCGTAAATAGAGTCGAACAGTCTTGCTCCAGTCCAAATAATTTAAGCCATTTAGCCGATAGTCTGTAATTTTAGACATCATAGGTAACATATCCGACACAACTACAGATTTCCTCTCAGCCATGGCACCAAAACCGAGATACAGGGTACAAAACAAAGACAAAACCAAGAGTCCCAAGGCAACAAGCAAACACCAAACCCCAGAACAGAAGGCGAAATCAATTTCAAACGCGAGCAGACCTGGAGAACCGGAGAACGAGCAGAACTGAAGAAGAAATCTGGAGCAAACCTGAAATCTCGTTGGAGCAAAATGTGATGCAGACCTGGAGAAGGAAGCCGGGCCAGACGCGAAGCCAAAAAAGGGAGAAGAAATTCGCGAAACGCGCAGGCGGCGCGAGCTGGGTGAACTCCGGTAGGCGCGGTCAGGTGCGGTCGCCGGGGAATCACCTGTCGGCGGTTGGGCGGCCGGTCCAGGCAGGTGGTCAGGTCGAAGAAGTCCTCAAAAAAACAAGGTGACCAAACTGAAACCCTAAAAAAAAATTTCGAAACCCTAATTTCGAGAAATCAAACAATTGAATTCTGTAGATCTAAGCTCTGATACCATGTTATTCAAGATGGAAGAGAATTCTAATTTCTTCAATTGATTAGAAAGAGATTACACATATATATATATATA